ATTTCCAATGGGCCACAGACCAGTACCAGTCAGTGGAGCAGGGATTGGAGACCCCAATTCTACAGCTTTGGAAAGCAAGAAAATGGAAAAAGAACACCTATCCGACCTTGACGAATATAAATCACCAGGACCCGACAGATTACATCTCAGAGTTCTGAAGGAGCTGGCAGATGTTATCTCAGAACCATTGCACCATATCTTTCAAAAGTCCTGGGGCACCAGGGAAGTACCTGAGGAGGGGAAGTACCTGAGGATTGGAAAAGGGTTGATGTGGTTCCCATCTCCAAGAAAGGGGAAAAAAACAGACCCAGGAAACTACAGACCAATCAGTCTAATATCAACACCTGGGAAGATCCAGGAAAAGATAATCAAAAAACAGATCTGCAAACAACTAGAAGCAAACAAGTTATAACTGGTAGCCAGCATGGGTTTGTCAAAAACAGATCATGCCAAACCAATCTTATTTCATTCTTTGATAAAGTGACTAAATTAGTAGACCAGCGAAATGCTGTGGACATAGTATACTTAGATTTCAGTAAGGCATTTCACAAAGTAGACCACAATCTACTGCTTGGTAAACTACAAATAGGTGGAACAGACAACATCACCACCAGATGGATTTGTAGCTGGCTGACAAACTGTACTCAGTGAGTAGTCCTCAACAGTATTACATCTGCATGGAGAGAAGAAAGCAGTGGGGGTATCACAAGTCTCTGTCTTAGGCCCAGTACTCTTCAATATCTTCATTAATGACTTAGATGAGGGAATAGAAGGGGAACTCATCAAATTTGCAGATGACACTAAACTGGCAGGAATAGCCAATACCCACGAATAGCCAATAGCTCAGGATCCAAAAAGATCTTGACAAATTTGAACAATGGGCCCTATCAAACAAAATGAGTTTTAATGTGGAGAAAAGCAAAGTTTTACATTTAGGCAGGAAAAATAAAAGGTTTAAATACAGATTAGACAAGACCTGGCTCAAAAACAGCAACTGTGAAAGGGACCTTGGAGTCCTAGTAGACAATCACTTGACTATGAGCCTGCAGTGTGCAGCAGCAGCCAAAAAAGCTAATTCAATCCTGGGTTGTATAAACAGAGGCATAGAATCAAGATCACGTGAAGTATTAGTACCGTTTTATAAAACCCTAGTGAAACCACACTTGGAATACCACAACCAATTTTGGTCACCATACTACAAAAAAGATGTTGAGACTTTGGACAGGGTACAGAGAAGAACAACTAAGATGATCAAAGACCTGGAGATTAAAACATACAAAGAACAGCTGCAGGACTCGGGTTTGGCCAGTCTAAACAAAAGAAGAAATAGGGGTGACATGATAGCAGTATTCCAGTATTTGAGGGGCTGCCAGAAAGAAGAGGGGGTCAAATTATTCTCCAAAGCACCAGGGGGCAAAACAACAAACAATGGCTGGAAACTAGTCAAAGAGAGAAGCAACCTGGAATTAAGGAGAAACTTCCTAATACTGAGGACAATTAACCAGTGGAACACCTTGCCCCCAGAAATCATGGGCGCTCCATCACTGGAGGTTTTTAAGAAGAGAATGGACAGTCACTTGTCTGAAATGGTATAGGTTCTCCTGCTTGAGCAGGAGGTTGGACTAGAAGATCTCCAAGGTCTATTCTATTCTATTCTATTCTATTCTATTCTATTCTATTCTATTCTATTCTCTATTGTATTTTCTATTCTATTCTATTTTCTATATATTCTATTCTATCCTATCCTATCCTATCCTATCCTATCCTATCCTATCCTATCCTATCCTATTCTATTCTCCAAAGAGTCAACTATACCTGGGTTTTTCATTGTCTCCACATGAACTAAAAAGAAACAATATGGTAGTTTTTAGTGGATTTGGGTAATCTTGGTGATTTCGTCATGTTCTGTATATAGTTACCTGGGAATTAGCACTCCTCACACAACATCACAGCAAGTCTGCATACGGTTTCTCCATATCAAACAATCAGGCAATACCATGACATGCCTCTTCTTTCTCAAAACAGTTATTGGGTTTCTTTGATCAATAGGAGGCCCAGTGTCTCCTACAATGTTTTTGACCTGGTTTGTCCAGGTGGCTATCAAAGTTCCTCTAGAGCAGGGGTAGGCAACCTTGGCTCTTTTATGACTTGTGGGCTTCAACTCAGAGAATTGGCTGGCTCAGGAATTCTGGGAGTTGAAGTCCAGAAGTCATAAAAGAGCCAAGGTTGCCTACCCCTGCTCTAGAGGGACAGTTTAGTATAGTACCAGCTCTTAGTTTAACTGGCACTAAGTGCCTCCTGAATCTTTTGCTTTTGGGGGTCACAATTTCCATACATTTGCCTGTCAAAGGATCTCTCCCCTCCTCCCCCCCCCCCATTATTTTGTCTTCTCTCTATTTGTCTGCCTCTCCTGGAAAACTTCAATTCTCCTGTCTGGGAACCCATCATCTTTCTTAATGCAATACAATGTAGCAACTCTCTCATGCTCCTTAAAGAAAAAAAAGCTTGCATTTGCAGCAGTTGCTGTTTATGTCCTCTGTAGAGAGAAAGACAATCACTGCATGTATTCTGGAGCTCACAATAATTTTTCCTCCCTGCCTTACCTACCAACACTCCTAGTGTACATTAATTTTCTGTTTGCGTATTCTGGCTATAAGCTTCTAGGACAGTGGTTCTCAACCTGTGGGTCGGGAACCCATTTGGGGTCGAACGACCATTTCACGGGGGTCGCCAAACAACGCAGTCCGCCATTTTTTTCCCCTTTTCCTTAGCTGTGCTACTCCCTTTTATTCTATTGGCTTTTGAAAGCCAATAGGAATTGTCCAGGCTGTCTCTGCCCTGCTGAGCCCGCCAAAAGTCCCATTCTGCAAACGGTGCTGCACCAGTTGAGTAGTCCTCACTTACGACTGGTTGAGTAGTCCTCGACTTACGACCGGTTGGGGGTCGCGGCATTAAAAAGGTTGAGAACCACTGTTCTAGGAGTTGCTTTTCTAGTGCAGAACCAACATGGATTGATTTCTTTTTAATTTTCCTGGAATGTCCAAGTTTACTTTTTGAGACTTAGAGGAGGTAGCAAACCCCCATCTCTTTCAGGCATATCTTCAGCATTTTCTTGCTATACTTTTCCTTGAGTTCATACAAAGGAAGACACTGGATCTTTTCATAAAACATTTTCTACATTACAGAAGTTAAATGGAAACATTTAAGTATGGAACACACTCAGAATATTAAAGCTTGGAACTGTAGCAAATTAATATAGCAAGTATTATTTATCAAAAACTGACTATATTTGGAACCCAAATTACTAATAATTTGACCAATTTACCTCAGTTTATTTATTTATTTAGTTATGAGACTTATATACCGCTTTAAGTGCAAGCACTCTCTAAGCGGTGTACACCAGTAAGCAATGTATATATATATTTACATTGCCCCCAACAATCTGGGTCCTCATTTTACCTACCTCGGAAGGATGGAAGGCTGAGTCAACCTTGAGCCAGTGAGATTTGAACCGCTGACCTGCTGAACACAGTCAGCTAAAATGGCCTGCAGTACTGCACCCTAACTGCTGCGCCATCTCGGCTCATATAGTAATAAAGAGTCAAAAGAAGAATCAAAATAACATATTTCTAAGAAAAAATGCTTTTTAAAATATCTAAAGTTGTACAAGGAAAACCTGAATCAAATAAAAAAAATGGAGATGGGATGATTACAGACAGTTGTCTTTTTATCTGTGTTATTCCAATAGTAGGCTTTACACTACATTTGTGCTTCCCCTCCTCATTGTGAAGGAAATGAGGCCATCAGTTTTCAAAAGTCATATTGGAGAGGATTCCACAAAAAAATCAGCCAAGAATTGCACAAACTGGGCAACAACATTTTAGCACAGCATATTAAGCAAACCAATCCTGGTAATGAGTTAACGGTTCAGTGTATTGTAAGATCTCCCCTCTCCCCCCAATGCAGACTTTGTATGTCAAAATAACAGAGTTGGAAAGAACCTTGCAGCTCTTCTAGTCCAAAGCCCTCCTCAAGTAGGAGATCCTATACCAGTGGTGGTGAACCTATGGCATGGGTGCCAGAGGCGGCACTCAGAGCCCTCTTTGTGGGCATGCACGCCGTTGCCCCAGTCCTAGGCCTTCAGCTGGGTTTTATAAAATCTTTTCGCTTTAGGCCTCCACCACGATGTGCAAAAAAAAAAAGGTTCAATCAATCAGTCAATTTCAACTTCTCGCGGGAAAAAAAAGATCTCGCAAAGTTGGAATTGATTGATTGAACTTTTTAGTCCCACCCATTCTGCCGTTACCCCTGCAGCCACGTCCATCTGATGGGCCATGCCCACCCGGCTCCCAACGATGCATACGTGGGTTTTGGGTTGCAGTTTGGGCACTCAGTCTCTAAAAGGTTCGCCATCAGTGCCCTATACCATTTTAGACCAATGGCTGTCCAATCTCTTGTTAAAAGTATCCAGCGATGGGGCACCTATAATTTCTGAAGGCAAACCATTCCACCGATTAATTGCTCTGTCAGAAAATTCCTCCTTATTCTTAGCTTGGATCAGTAAAATACAAGAAAGCATTTGAATAAATCTGTTTGGAAATCAAGTCTTTATTCTCCTCTCACACAAAATAATCGTTTCTCCTGCCGATCAATTCCAATTCTATGGCTGCTTCAGATCAATTTCATCTAGAATGCCTCAAAGGGCAGAATTGCAACTTCTACTACAACAGCAGCAGAACCCACGTTAGGGATCGGAGACGCTGCAATCCTACACCCTTTGAGAACGCGATGCCCATTGCAGATTTCCAATTGTATCGGTTCCCACGTGCATTTCTCCCGACTCGGCCCAACCCTGGACATCCCATTTATTACTACTAGCAACGCCCCCAACCCCAGGTGAATTATGAATAGCGTGCGAAAAGGGAGACTTCTCGAGAGTTGACCGCAGACCCGCGAAGATCCAGCGCTCTCCCGCGTAGGCTTTAGCAGCTCCTCCTCACCTGCGAGCGCTGCTTTCATGGCCTCGACTCAGGCGACCCGAGAGCCTGCCGAAAAACGCCGCCAGAGACGGCCTCCCGCGAGGCAAACAATCCAGCAACCGCCGCCAGAGCGCGGGAGCCGCTGCAACTACCGCCGCCGCCGCCGCCATGGAAACCTGGCTACTTTCTGTTTCCGGGTGTTGAAGCTCCGCCGGTTCCGCTTCCGGTCGTGGAGATGGAAGGCTGAGATAACGGCGAAGACAGAGAACGCCGAAGTGTTGGGTTTCATCATACAGCTATGGAGTAGTAGCACTACTAATACTGTGGATTAGATGCCGAGGTAGATAGCAGTAGAGATCCTCCAGTCACCCACCTTTTCACTCATTCACTCCCTCTCAGCCAAACATCTTTGACACAGTCTCCTTGAATTCCCGGAGAAAAGATAAGCAGTGACTCCTAACACATGCTGGAATTGGCGTTCATTTTAAGCCCGTATCTCTGCAACTAACCAAGGGGCAACTGAAATTTACTTTACTTGAATTGCAGAAATTGGGAGATAAGAATTATCCGGATTTTTACAGTTCAAAAATTGAGTACAATAAGTCGAGGACTACCTGTATAATGAAATTTGGCCCTGAAAAATGTCTAGGGTTGTGCTGTACTGCACTGTACATTTTTAAGAGCCTATCTGAGTATTATTACAGATGCTGAGTTGAGGGAATTGAAAACTAAGCAAAATGGCTTAGGGTTTTTTTTCCAGTATATTACACACATACTGTAAACATGATTTCAGAGATTTTTAAGTACATATTTCTATATTTGTTTTACAGCACTATGTTCACTGATTTAAACAGGATAGGAAAAACAAAATTATAGACTAAAAAGTTTTTTTAATTCATAATTAGACATTCCCACTTAATTGTGCTTATTCTTAAAAATGCATAGAACATAGAAGTGATAGAAACCCAAGTTGTGTTTTATCATGTTGAATAATGTCAATCAGCTCCAGTAAGCATAATGAATGGGAAGATAGGAATCGCATTTAATCTTGGTGTTGAGCATTAAGAAATTAAAATAGGTCAGAATTACTTAAACGCTTATGAGAACCACAAACCCCTGTACTATCCTCTTCCATTGCTGTGGAAGTATTAAACAGAAGCAATATCTCCACAATTTATGAATTGGCAATTCTAAATTGGAAGGTTATGGCAAGGCATGTTGCCATTGTTTGTCTATTAGACTGATGACCCAAAAAAATGATGAAAAGCATATTGCATGCTTTTGGAACTACTAGTCTTCAAGTTACAACCTTTCATTTAGCAACCAGTCAAAGTTACAACAGCTCTGAATGAGAGGAACTTACGAGTGATCCACAAAGTTGCAGCTGTTATAACATCCCTAAGTCATGTGATGACAATCCAGCCACTTGGTGATCAGCTGATTACATTGCAGCAAGTCACAGTCACATGATCACAATTTCTGATGTTCTCTGCAGGCTTCCCACAAGGAAAGTCAGTGGGGAAACCAGCAGGAAATTGCTCCTGCTCCCACAGCTTTTTTGCCTCTGGAATGCCTGCCCATGGCATCCTGCTAGCCTGGGATTCTTGCCTCTTTAATGTCCTGTGCAGTCCTGGGGTTTTAATAGCAACCAGGACTACAAGAGTGCCATCATTAAATGATGTGGTCATATGACATCATATTACCACTTCACTTAGCAATAGAAATTCTGGACCTAGTTGCCATTATAACCAGAGGGCTACCTGTAATCCAAGTTATATTCAGCTTCTTCCCAATAAATGGGAAGAGAACTGTAATCATTCAGGTAAGACCAATTAAATGTTAGTTCTCCCTGTGCTTACTGGAAATTAGATCTATTAAATATAGTGGCCCTTATTCAAGCATAGGACTGGTTATTCATTTGTTGTAAAAAGCAATAGTGCACCTAAGTACATATTCTTTTTTCCATCCATCCCACTAAGGGTGGTATCTCACCAGTTCTGTTTTGTTCATGAGAACTGATGTTTCGTGTTTTATTAAAAACACCACCTGTACAGAAATAGGGCTGCACCACCAGTTCTCAGGTTCTGAGAGATTTCTGGACAATATTCATCCTAATGCAGAGGAAGCAGCAGGCCCAGGATGCCCATGTAGTTTTCCCCTGCATAGTACCTGCTACTATGGCAATCAGTACCACTACCTCCTTCCTCCCAGAAATCTTCAGCCATTGTAACAAAGAGACTATTCCTGTTCCCTCTCTTTCCCCTACACCTTTTTCTAATGATGACATCTTCCAAGATTCCAATGACCTTTGTTAGCTTCTCCTTTTGCTTCTGGGTAGCCCAACCCTGTTACTGTAGAAAACTGCTGTTGCTTCTGCCGTCACCATGCAGGCAATTAACAGGGTCACCAAGCCTCTTCCTCTTAAGTAGGCTTCTGAACTCTGGAGATAATGAGCCAGGAGGTAAATTAAGAAAATGAAATTCAAGGCACATGGTTTTTTCTTTCTTTAGTCTATTCAGTCAGAGACAAAGAAAGAAAAATTAAAGCACTTAAACCCTATTGAAATTATACTTACTGTTCTCTGCTATGCAAATAGATTGAGAACCAGAAATGGCTTTAATTAACATGCACTTATGTTCCTCTTGGTTGATCCTATGCAGGTGTCTTCATGTATATGTTCCAATATATTAAAGTAGCCCAATAAGAAAAACAGGAGTCATCTATTCTAAGACATACAGTGTAAGGACTGTAATAGCCGCCACCTGTGTAATAAGGACACGCAGGTAGAAAACACTTCTTAATCTCACTACACATGGACAGTGTAGTTCAACTGGGAAATGTGAGCATTCTAAACCAAACTAATTCCAAAAGTGCTAGGGAAGTTTGGCATTCAGAGAAATCAGCCATCAACAGATACATAGAAATAAACCATATTTATCTATCATTCAAAAGAGACAAAAAAGCTAAGAGGGAAACAAAAAGATCAGGACATATCTTCTCCATCAGCCAACATCCATATAAGCAGGGATTAATCCCCTTAAACAATCAAGCAGAAAACAAGGAGAAAAACCACATGCACCCCAGCAAAACATGAAGGGCAAGCTACTGTTTATAAATAGGGAACAAACCCCACACTCGCTAGCACTGATGATGTTACCTAGTCAGGTAATGAAACATCTGCAAGCAAACAAGCAAGCTCAGAGAGTACCAGGGACTCCATATGTTCCAAAGGATTCTATGGAACTTCCTTCTACATAAGCAATCTCAGGATCCCAACTTTCAAACACAGCTATAGCAGCCAGATAGATTGTACTGTGCAGCAGCTTGAGTTTCCGTTTACTGTATTTTCAAATAGTTCAATAGTTATTTAGAGAACTTCAGCTGCTTTCCCAGCACTGAGCAATAGAAAACCTTTTACTTTCCGAAAGAAAAGTTTCACCCACAGTCTCCAACAGCTATCAGAGCCTTTGAAATTTACTAATCTTCAAATCACTTCTCAAACAAATTAGATCTTTTGTAGAGTGCTAGTCAAAGTTTTTTTTTCCTGCTGAAATCAGATCTTCTTTCTTCTCAATTTCTGAGCTTGGGACTTTAATGTCTCTGTCCCCTATCAGATCAAACAAAGGCAGGAAATCCTGACTTAGGAGTGTTATGGGCAGAATATCTATAATTCACCCTATGGCAAACCCATTGAAAATTCCCAAATGCCCTTCATTCTCAAAATATCTGTCTGCTGTACGCCCATAGGCAATTGAAAAAAACCAGTGACGTTCTTTTTAAGGAACACGTCCTTTCATTTTGTCATTGTGGCTTTCACATCTGGCAGCTGGGCATTAAAATGCAATTGGGAGAACTTTCCATTCAGCCTGAATGCAGGTTAAGAATGTGTGCAAAACAGTTTTGATGTTTTCATTTCTTTCTCCAGAATAGAATTTTTTTAAAGTAATAACACAAATTAGCATTGCTGTCTACAATATATTTCTTAAATCTAAACACTTTAAAAGCAAAATTTCTCTTTTATATTAAAAGTATTGATTTTTAAATATTTTCTTTTAAAGTACCATGATCTGGGGTTAAACATGAGGAACTTCCTCCTCATAGAAGACCATAAAAGACAAGAACAGTTATTTAGTTTAACAAGCAATCTGACCAAAAGACTCCTTAAAATGGAAGATAGTAAACAAATGTATTTACTTAGTTTAGCGCTCTCTCTCTTTCAGTTGAATCCACAAGTTAGCTAAGGAAAAAGCAAAGTTAATAACCTGCTCCTCTAAGATCTCCTTAATATGGTTCAAAGTCATTCCCTCAAGAAACATTCCAATCAGGAAGCCAGGCTGCACTCTCATATCAGTTAACTGTCCCCCCCCCCTCCTGTGGTTGGATGGGGGTCTTTTTACTACAAAGCTTTGCCTCACAAAAATTCCAGCTTTCCCTAGAGGAGAACAAATCAAGGATTTTGTTTTTCCAGGAAAACAAACTGTCACTTCTGTGGCAAAACAGACTTCCAGCTGGTATATGTTTTGGTGGCAGAATATGCATTCTCCAATTGGCTGAGTATGCTGCACATACATGTCTCAGTCTCAGAAGCAGAGGTGAGCACAGCTGGAATAGATACTGAACCTTTGGGGGGGGATTAACATTCCTTATCATTTCCCTCTTGGCAAGTCCTTAACAGTAGTTTATGTTAGAACTGTGTCAAAATAGAAAAACAAGTAAAAACTTTATGAAACTATATTTGGCTCCTCATATTTTATTTATGAAGTTATCCTTAAAAAGCGACACATAATGCTTTTTATGAAAACACATGCTTTGCTTGCAATTTCTCAGCATCACATAGTGGGGTTCCTGAGGCAAAGGGCATACAAGTAGCGTCAAACTTCATCTTTATGAAGTTATTCCTAAAAGGCAACACATAATGCTTTTTATGAAAACACATGCTTTTTGACAAGAAAGTCAAAAAGTTTAAAATCCTCCTGAGTATAAATGCTTGGTCTAAGTTGGCAGGAAGGAAAATGGCACCTCCACGTAAAAAAGACATGCAGGGCTTGATTAGGATAGTCAATTGTTCAGTTGGAAAAAGTATAGAAAAACAGAACAACTATAGGGTTGGATTTTTGTGAAATAACTAACAACTGTTGAGAGAGAATTAGCTTAGAAAAAAGGCAAGGAAAGGAAATATAA